GTGGCCTTATGACACACTTCCGGTGATGTCAGGGGTGTGGCATATGCTAATGAGTTATGCTAATGAGTTCCCCTAGCTCTTTTTCTACGAAACGACCCCTGGATGTATAACATAAAATAATATGTTGTATGTTTGAACTAATAATATATCCTAATAAATTGTTTTTTGAAAAAAAACTTAATGTATAAATAATGTGTAAAAAAACATGTATTTATTTATAAAGAATTAAAAAAAACATATAGGGGCCCAATCACACCTCATGTAAAAAATTCCAAAATCATATATACACAAGGGCCAATGGACTTGACTAGATTATTATCAATGAAATATCATTTGACATATGATTAGATCTTGGGTGGCCTCATTTATACTTTCATTCTATGCTTAGTAATTTCACTCTGGAAGTAAGTCATTTTTTTAAAGTATAATATAGGCATTGTTTGTTTATCCATTTTATTATATGAATTTAATTTCACCTTTTTTATTTTTTACAGCAATTCCTTTCTGGACCATTTTGTATCCATGCTGTATAATTGTATTGTATTATGTATTATGATATATAATGTTCCTCGTTGTGTTTGACCTCTGAAGAAGGCCCTAACAGGCCAAAATGGATAAGGTCAAGTCCATTGACCCTTGTGTATATATGATTATGGAATTTTTACATGAGGTGTGATTGGGCCACTATATGTTTTTAATTCTTTATAAATGAATATATGGATTTTTACAATTATTTATAGTTTTAATTGTTGGCCCTCTACTGAGAAATGTACAAAGCCATCAGTTTTCTGCTCCCGATTCCCTCCTTAAAACAGGGGGTTTTTTGGGCCGGAACGCACAGGAACGGAGTTCCGGCTGGCTTCCAAGTTGGCCACACCCAGCAGGAACTCATTAGCATAATAGGCCACACCCAACAGCAGAAACTCATTAGGATTGGCTACATTAGGGGTGTGTGGCCTAACATGCAAAGGAGTTCCTGCTACAAAAAAAGCCCTGGGTTTTGCCAACAAACAAGGTAAACAGAATAAGAAGCAAAAGGTGGGTGTGGCTGGATGAGCACACTTCTGGTAACATGGGGTGTGTGGCCTAATATGCCAATGAGCTGTGCTGTCAGGGGTGTGGCCTAATAGGCGAATGAGTTTCTGGTGTTGGGTGTGGCCTGTTATGCTAATGAGTTCCTGCTGGGCTTTTTCTACCAAAAAAGCCCTGCTTAAGAAGAAGGCCACAAGTGCCGGCTAGTTTATTCATATGAGGGCACATTGCCAGGAGCAAAGACCTCATTCTCAGCAGGGACACCTCAGAGCCCTGCCATAGATGCCACCAGCAGCTGGAAGGTGGGGTTGGAGAGTGGACGATGTTCCTCCCAACATCATCTCCCATGGACTCATGAAGCTGCCTTCTGCTAAGTAAAGACTGCTGGCCTGTCAAGGTCAGTGCTGTCTACTCCGACTGGCAGCAGCTCTCCAGGGTTTCAGGCAGGGATCTTTCACATCACTTACTGGCCTGATCATTTTTTTTAACCCGGAGATGGCAGGGATTGGACTGGGGACTACCTGAATGCACAGCAGATGTCCTACCACCCTCAACAGACAGTCCCAGCTTCTCTGTGTTCTGCAAGTTTCCATAGATGTTGCAGTGTTTGGTGACTCTTACATCATTGTGTAAAAATAAAGAGAAGGGTGCATTTCAGCGACTCACTTTAATTTAAAACATTTAATGGATTTTAATGGCAAGCCACTTTGAGAAGCGATGTGGCTGCAAAGCAGGGTATAAAGTCATTCAAACAAATAAATAAATAGTTATCCTCTCTACCAAAACCATATCACCATGCCTATTTCACAAACATGGAACAAACATAGACAGATTTAAGTTCTCGGTAGTGATTGATAATTTGTCAATAGTACTGTGGCATGAGAACTTTGGGTTTGGATACGTCTTTAGATCTGTCAGCAGTACAGTTTTTGCTGTGTCTCTTTTCAACTGGTGGTTCACTTAGGAAAGGGAACCACTTATAGATCCTACAAGCCAAAAGATTAGGTCGGCAGTATTGGAAATCCAATTCCACTCCACATATAGAACTTTGGCGCAAGAATGGATGTTGGACTTAGCTATAAAAGAGCATATAGTATTTTCCAGAAGAGATGAGTACAAGAAATATGAGGAAATTTGGTTGGATTTTTTTCAGCTATATGGCTCCAGTTGATCAGTGGATGTCTTTTGTAGGGTTAGATATTTTGTGGAAATTTAAGTTGTTTATTTTTAGTAAATTATTTTTTTTAAAAAAAACACATAAGTTGAAAGGATGACAAGATTTCAGAATGAAAAACACACACTTCAGAATGCTGTACCAGCACAAAGACCATTCATTTCAGTGGGGCTGGAAGTTCAACGTTCAGTCTATCAAACAAATTGCTGAGTCAAAAGGTGAACTCAGGTGGCAGCACGTTGTGAGTAAAGAGAACTAAGAATGGAATTTGCACTAATAATGCAAAAAAAAAAAAAGGATGCTGACATTACTCAGAGACTTATCAGAATGTTCCAAATGTTCACTACAGTGAATCGATTAAGCCAACTGTGGGGGCATAAACAGTTAATGTGGTTCACATGTATTCGATGGTCCCATCTGAAGACTGCAAAACCTATGACTGAGTGCTACAGTGAGCTAAACAAAGCATGCATCAGAACCCCATCAACAGTTTATGTATCCAGTAGAGACTACAAAATCCATGCTGCAGTCCAGATCGGAGAAAAGGATACACATGCATGAAACAGCTGAACTCAGTAACCAGGCAACTGTAAGGCAGGATGCACAGCACCAAAACATAACAGGACAGCTATACTTTCTGTAAAAAACTGTGGTACAAGACCAGGAATAGATTTCAAGGTGTGGCCTTGGCACATCCCTAAATTTCACACTGTATAACAGTCTTGTGGCATTTGGGTTTCTTGTGCATGGGTAGATAGTGCAGTGCTACATTTGAACACTTCTCTGTGGTATCATCTATATAGGACTTTTTTTTGAAGCAAGTATAAACCCTTACCTCTGTGGCAAGGCTCTGACTTGCCCCATTATCGAGAAGAAACTTAACCACTTCCAGGTGGTTTTCTTGAGCTGCCATATACAATGGTGTGAAGCCATTCTGAAAAAGAGAAACACAACAACATAAGCCCCCTTTCTAAAAAAAACTGAAAGTCTTTATCAGATCACCATCTGGGTCCTTCACTTTGGCATCGTGCAGGGCTGGGCTTATACCTGCAGGAGAATGGGGTGGTCAAAAGGACTTCGCACATTCAAAAAACTTCCCAATTTTTTCAAAAAAGCCTCACAAGTAGAGAATTAGTAGCGTCTCCCCCTCCCAGGTGCTAACAGTTTACTGGCAGGGAATGCTCTTCATCAGGGGTCGTTTCGTAGAAAAAGAGCTAGGGCGGTGGACCTGCAAGGCCGGCGGGAGTGCAAGGAAGCCCCGCGAAGGCCCTCCCTGGCCCCAGGCAGGCAGTGGTGGGGAGAGGCAGGGAGAAAGCAACTTACCCTTCCTCTTCCCCTGCCTCCTCCTGGCTGAATTAGGGCCGGAAGCGGGGCGGCCGGAAGCAGGGGGCGGGGCTTCGTCATGTGCCCTGCCCCCCGTACCTCACCCGGGGGAACTGCGATCCCCCACGATCCCCCCCCGAAATGACCTCTGCTCTTCATGGAATAAGCCTGTTGTGTGTATGGCAGGGGAGGGGGGCTTTTTGCAAAGGTAACAAATACTAACAAAAGCCAGTAAATAAGAGGAGAAACCCTCTTTGTTGTTTTTTTTAATGTGATTTGAGTCGGTGAAGGCCTGTGCGTGTGGCCAGTGCTGGCTCAGCAAACCGTGCACAGCTGTTGACTTCTGGAGAAAAGGAGAAAGAGCCGATGCTGATAGAAATGCAGGGTCAGCTTCAGAGAAGAAAAGCCACGGACGCTTTCACAGCCTTTCTGCTGACTTCAGCACCCAGTCTGGAATCTATGCTTCCCAAAGGAAAATGCTGCAATCAGTGCTCTCGTCTATAGATAAGCCCTACCTAAAGGTACGGCGGAGGGTCATTTCACTCACTACTGCGGACAGACCTCGATTTTTGTACCGAGGATACACCAAAACCGAGAATTAGAGCCACTCGAAATGCTGGTCGCCACTTTGGGATCAGGAAGCAGATGGTCTCCAGGCCAATTTGGCCAGGGATTCTGGAGGTGTTTTGTTTGTTTGTTTGTTTTTTGCCATCTTCTGGGCATGGAACAGGGGATGTGGGGGAGAGGTATTTGCGAATGGCCTGCATTGTGCAGGGGGTTGGACTAGATGACCCTGGAGGTCCCTTCCTACTCTATGATTCTATGATTCCTTGATGCGTGTACCTGCACAATACACGTGTTGGTCACATTCATGCATTGCAGTTTTTTTCCAAGACATGCACTTAAAATATTTTGGAAGTCCAAGCAAAATTGTAATGTGTGAAGTGGCCCACTGTAGGAATAAGTGTCATGGATCAGGGCGGCCAAAGAGGAGGAAGTCCTACAGGCTCTGACTGATCAGCGCAAGGAGTGTTTGGTCACTGCCTGTCTCCTTCCCCACTGATGTGCCGCAGGTGAGTTTTAAAGGGCTCAGCATAGGTTTTCAGTTAACCAGATGGGCGGGAGATGCTGAGATGGATGAGAGCTGGTAAAAGTAAAAGTGTGTCCAACGGGGCCAGGAACTGGATAATGCAAAGCACATCTTAAATACAAAAGTGACAGAATTGTGCCTTTTGCCAGCCCCAAGTCCGGGAGTGGGTGGGAATCCATACCCAGCAACCAGTCAAAATAAATTTGGCTTGCTAAATCACAGAATCATAGAGTTGGAAGGGACCTCCAGGGTCATCTAGTCCAACCCCCTGCACAATGCAGGAAATTTACAAATACCCCCCCACTCCCAGTGACCCCTGTTCCATGTCCAGATGGCAAAAAACCCCACCAGGATCCCTGGCCAAAATGGCCTGGAGAAAATTTGCTGCCTGACCCCAAAGTGGCTATCAGCATCTTCCTGGGCGTGTAAGAAAACACCATGAGAATTAAGCACTGATGCAACTCTTCCTGCCTCCTTTCTCATAATCTGCCTCAGTTGACAGAATCAGCATTGGTGTCAGATGGCCATCTAGCCTCTGCTTAAAAACCTCCAAAGAAAGAGAGCCCGCCACCTCCCAAGGAAGCCTGTTCCTTTTACCGCTCTGTCAAGGAGTTCTTCCTAATGTTTAGCTGAAAACTCTTCTGATTTAATTTCAACCCGTTGGTTCTGGTCCAACCTTCTGGGGCAACAGAAAACAACACCATACCACCATCCTCTATATGTCAGCCCTTCAAGTACTTGAAGATGATTATCATCACCTCTCAGTCGTCTCCTCTCCAGGCTAAACATACCCAGCGGCTTCGACTTTTCCTCATAGGACTTGGCTCCAGACCCCTCACCGTCTTTGTTGCCCTCTGGATATGTTCCAGCTTGTCAATATAATTCTTAAACTGTGGTGCCCCAAAACGAACACAATACTCTTGGTGACTTCTAACCACAGCAGAATAAAGCGATACCATCGTTTAGTGTGATCTGGTCAGTATACTTCTATTGATACAGCCCAAAATGGCATTTGCCTTTTTAGCAAGCGCATCACACTGCTGGCTCTTGTTCAGTGTATGGTCCACTAAGACCCCTAGATCTTTTTCACACATACAATGGGTAATTGAAGTTTTTCAGCTAAAATTCCTTACACCTTTGGTGAATTCTGTCCAACACAAGAACACGTCTTTGGGTCTTGGAACAAGTTGTGGCTCTGGCAGATTCAATCTTTGTCCCAAGACCTCCAATTTTAATACTGATATCATTGTTCTTTTTTTTTTTTTAATGAGGCTTTTATCGCTGTTTAAGTGATCATCATTTTCCAGTTGCTTTACTGTGGTTTGAAATGTTACCATATTTTAACTGGTCAATTATTTGTTTAAGAGGTGCTCCTGTGGACCTAGTTTGGGCTGTGAAGCCAGACAGAAATGACTGAAACGTTGCCTCTCCTGGGATCTGCTGCAACTCACCATCCCTTCAAAACAGATCCTCACTGTGAAGAATCCAACAATGCGCTCCTGTCCAAGCCTCTGGTATGAAAGCTACTTATAGCCAGGGGTCATTTCCTGCAGGAGCGCACAGGAGCGGAGCTCCGGCAGTAAAGAGCCCAGGGGGCGGGCACATGCAACAAGCCCCACCCCCTGCTCCCAGCAGCTCTCAGTCAAAGCAAGAAGCAGCCCCCCACCGGCCCCCCAGTCCAAAACAGTCCAGTGGCACCTTTAAGACCAAGTTTTATTCAGGTACAAGTTCTCTGTGAGATCCGCACGTTCCCCCCCCCCCCCCCCCCAAAACCAGACACGAAGATGTTCCGACTGGAATGAAGCATTCATGCACATTAAGATGCACTGATGACCTCAGCACTGAACTGTTCTCTCCACGCGTATAGAATAGGAGACAGAGGAATCTGGGCAATATCCTCACTGCCCTCACACGCTGAGCTGTGCTGGCTGCACTCTGATGTCCCAGAGGAGTCTGGGGGAAAATGGGATTCTGGGTATTGCACAGTGAGCCATAAGAAGGCCTCAGTTTGACATGAATGGTCTGGGACCCAGACCATTCATGTCAAACTGAGGCCTTCTTATGGCTCACTGTGCAATACCCAGAATCCCATTTTCCCCCAGACTCCTCTGGGACATCAGAGTGCAGCCAGCACAGCTCAGCGTGTGAGGGCAGTGAGGATATTGCCCAGATTCCTCTGTCTCCTATTCTATACGCGTGGAGAGAACAGTTCAGTGCTGAGGTCATCAGTGCATCTTAATGTGCATGAATGCTTCATTCCAGTCGGAACATCTTCAAGTATACTCATCCACTCTATGGCCAAAAGTATTGTATCAGACTAACTGTGCCATTCAAAACAATGTCATACCATTCATATAATAAGGAATGCAATATAAATCTTAGCAGAGCATAATTTTGTTTCAAATGACCCAAGTTAAAAGTACCACGACAGTGTAAGAGAAACATTATTTCTGAGAGCATCACTTTAAACCATCCATTTCATAAATTAATGTGATAAATCCGGGGACATTTTCGGCGGAGGAGACAGGATGCTCCGTCCCATTAGTATTGTGCATGCATGATTATAGCAGCCATTATTTCAAAAGAATTTCATTTTAGCATTTGCTAGCATTAACATGAAGTCAATGTAACGTAAAAAAAATATGGATGGATCTTTTCTGGATGCATCTCTGACAATTTTGTAAGAGGCTGAGGAATTCTCTACTGTTATGTTTTTATCAGTGGACAATGCATCTGGGCAGGCAGTAATACAAGTCCGGACAGCTGTGGACCTTGGGAAGGGTATGATGTGCTGTCTTCTACATGAGCCCAGCAGCAGCCTGGTCTCCCTCAACCAGAGGCCAACACCCACCTCACTCTCAAGAGTTAATTGTTTGGAATGAGCTTTCAGAATTGATTCTTCTTTCTTCTCAATTAAGGGTTAAACAGCATGTGACACTGGAGGTCCATGACTGGAACTCAACATATATCATTTGACTCTTAAAAATTAGTTGAGGGGAGAACACAGATCAGGAACGTAGCATAGGGGAAAGACGCTTAACTCTTCCACGCACACACGTATACACAAAATTTCCCTAATCAAAAATGACCTGAGTTGCTTTAAAAGGTAAAGGTTTCCCTTGGGGAAGGATAAAAGACTAGCACCCATTACTTGGACTGTCTTTCCCCCCTACCTGGATTTAAAGCAGTAAGGTAAAGGTAAAGGTTTCCCTTCCTCGAAAGCCAGTCGAATCTGACTCTAGGGATGCGGTGCTCATCTCCGTTTCCAAGCCAAAGAGCCAGCGCTGTCCAAAGACATTTCCGTGGTCATGTGGCCGGCATGACTAGATGCCGAGGTGCACGCAACGCTGTTACCTTCCCACTGAAGTGGTACCTATTTATCTACTTGCAGTTTCTTGCTTTCGAACTGCTAGGTTGGCAGGAGCCAGGGCCAGAGACAGGAGCTCACTCCGTCATGCGGCACTCAGGTCTCGAACTGCTGAACTACCAACCTTCTGGTCTGCAGTTCAGCATCTTAACTACTTCAGCCACCACAGCCCATTTAAAGCAGCAGGGAGGCCATTCTGAATCAAGGAAGAGATACGGGAAGGGAAAAGTTGAACCTCTTTTCCTCACTGCCAGAGTGAGATACACATGTTTGAACAAATAAATACTATCCTCATATGATCGCAACAAGGCAAAGGTAAAGGTTCCCTTGCTGGAAAGCCAGTCGAATCCGACTCTAGGGTTGCGGTGCTCATCTCCGTTTCGAAGCCGAAGAGCCAGCGCTGTCCGAAGACGTTTCCATGGCCATGTGGCCGGCATGACTAAACACCAAGGCACATGGAACGCTGTTACCTTCCCACCGAAGTGGTATTTATCTACTTGCAATTTCTTGCTTTCAAACTGCTAGGTTGGCAGGAACTAGAGACGGGAGCTCACTCCGTCTTGCGGCACCCGGGGCTCGAACTGCTGAACTACCAACCTTCCACAGCCTGCAGTTCAGCGTCTTAACCACTTGAGCCACCGCAGCTCCTCACAACAAGGTAGCCAATTACAATTCGTCGAGGTATTATTGGCTGGCATTCAGAGAGATGGTCCCACCCGTCATGGTGTCATGATGGCTTCCTGATTGGCTGAAATCACCCCCATGCCTAATTTGGAAAGCAGGAGGAATGAGCTGCTGCACTGGTGGTGGTAGTTCTACTCCACTAGAATTACTGGCTTGAAGCTGACAACCGCAACTGGCAGATGTTCGGCGAAGTCCTAGTTTGAAGTTGATTATCGTACAATTCCTCCAAGGGAGACATAATCTTTTGGATTGCTTTTGGATGGGCTAATCGCAGCCTTCCACGAGCCAGCACCACAGAAACTGGGGAGGCCTTTGCCACAGACCACCCCAAACACGAAGCATGAACTTGAGCCCCCAAAACAGACCACAGTAAGATTGCAGGTAGTCCTTATCTATAAAGCTATTTTGTGCACCAGACCAGGAAGTCTGCACACTGTGCTGTCCTTGGCTTCTTCTCTTGATATCTTATGACACACCACAACTGCCTTTCATGCACCCTCTTCTTGGGGTTGTGGAGCTGTCAATTGGAGAAGGGGTCATAGGGATGCTAAGTGTGACACCGTTGTAGTGTCAGCTAGCTGCCATGCTTTCTTTGTTTACCTTCATCCCTGACCCTTGCGCATGCGCACATGCTTGCTTTGCTGCTGTGGGTAACTTAAGGGAGGCTCACTTTCATCCGTGAGAACTGGCTCAGCCAGACAGCGCTATCAGCGTAACCTTGATGAGAAGGGAGGGCTTGAGTTCCACTGTCGGTGTGAATATTTCTGCTCTCAGGGGGTGGGAGAGTCTCCGGTTTATGATGTAATGTCCTGCCGGGAGAATTCCCGCGTGAGTGCTTGAAGTTCATTTGCTTAGCTAGTTGAAGCATCAGAGTATATGTAGCGAGTCCCTTGCACTAATCGTTATTCCTAACAATGTACCTGTAGCACTTGGCAACAGACCAGTATTCCAATAAAGCATAACTTTTCCTGAAGAGTGTGTTTGGACTTGCTTGCCGTTGATCCTGACATGTAGACCCTTGACACATTCTTGGGAGCAGGAACTATCAGCCCATAAAGAGAAATGGCACTCCCTTACTTCTCATACACAGAGAACAGACTGCAGTTTCTATTGAGTTGTAACGGTAGAACTCAATTTGACTGTCCTGATAAGTCGATATGCCGTTTCTCCTGCCTACCCAAGGATGGTACCTGCACAGGAATGGGAAGCAGGTGTCAAGCTTCTGGCTTCACCCCACCACCTTGTCCCGTCCCCCCCACTCCTCTCACCATGGGAGAAAACGGAACTTCAGGGGACTTTTTGAATGCAAGCAAATGGGGGCTGTCCCAGCTCTACTGCTAATTTCTGGATGGGAAGTGAGGAAGTGAGGCAGTATGTGCAAGGCCAAGGCCCACATGTGAATTCTCCCCCAGGGACAAGAATAATAGCTGCACAGAGCACATGTGGATGAAAAGAAAGGAATGTCTAAATCGCAAATCACTATGCCTTATTGCCAGCATCCATTTTAGCAAAGCAACCGGACATAACGGCAAAAGAAGAGACTGGATACATCTGTGTACGATAGTGTATATACACCCGCATGCAACATGTACACTCACTCACACCACCAACTTCTAGCACACACCTTTCGGCACCGCACTCATTTACCTGAGATTGTGCATTGACGTTGGCCCCGTTAGTAACCAGCACTTTCACCACTTCCGTCTGCCCCGCCAGAGATGCTATGTGCAAAGCTGTGTTTCCTTTCTGAAATGAGAGAAAGGAACGGCATGTGAAAAACGTTCCCCCATGCTCTTGAGTGTTGTGCACAGAGGGAAGACCCAGCTGAATATGCCCAAGGCCCGGCAGATGCAGTTTTACAGTGGGGAGTTCTGTACTCAATCAGTCACAGCTCAGGATTCCAAAGTATTTTGGTAAGGCCCCAGAGAGAAACTTAGGCCAACGGACGCGTGAGCTTCATTTCTCCGTCAGCCTACAAGTAGGGACAGTCCTAGCGTTTGACACTGTTAAATCAGGGGTTCCAGGTGGGAAATTCTGTACGTTTTTGAAGTGCAGCAAATGGCTGGTTTCTGAATGCCCACAGGGAAGGCCTGTTGTCCGTGGCAACCCCTCAACTCCCACAGAACACAACTTCCAGAGGGAACTTTAAACCTTTTTCAGGAGGTTGCAGTTGAGGTGTGATAAGAAAGAAAGTTCTTTTCTGCACTTGGATCTCATCCCTGGTTTTATCAGAGTTCAACTCATGACACATTACCTTGCATTTATCCCTGGTTATGGTCCTTTCCGCACCAGACCTTAAATCCTGGTTCAACCATGTCCCCGAACTTACATTCTACACTAAACGCGAGTTCACCCCTATAATTATCTCAGGATATTTACCTATAACAGCATCCGTTTATCTTGGGACAAGTGTGGGGTGAAACCGGGGTGACCTCAATGTAATGTGGAAACCAAAAAATACCTCGAGATAATTGCAGGGGTGAACTCGAGTGTAGTGTAGAATGTAAGTTCGGGGACATGGTTGAACCAGGATTTAAGGCCTAGTGTGGAAAGGACCAAAGGCTCCCTGTGCATGAAATATGGGGGTACAGATCAGGTTCCTTTTGATCTCCTAGCTGTGTATTCTTTCCAGGGAATAGGTAAAGGTAAAGGTTCCCTTGCTCGAAAGCCAGTCGAGTCCGACTCTAGGGTTGCGGTGCTCATCTCCGTTTCAAAGCCGAAGAGCCAGCACTGTCCGAAGACGTTTCCGTGGTCATGTGGCCAGCATGACCAAACACCAAGGCGCACGGAACGCTGTTACCTTCCCACCGAAGTGGTACCTATTTATCTGCTTGCAATTTCTTGCCTTCGAACTGCTAGGTTGGCAGGAGCTGGAACTAGAGACGGGAGCTCGCTCCGTCATGCGGCACCCGGGACTCGAACTGCTGAACTACCGCCCTTCCACAGGCTGCAGTTCAGCGTCTTAACCACTTGAGCCACCGCAGCTCCTTTTCCAGGGAATAGGAGACACCAATTGGATTTTCTTCCTCAAGAACCAAAGTGTCAGGGTGAATTCACACATTACAAAGTTCAGAACATGTGTCCATGTTCTGGGAGTCCCATGCATCCTTATACACAAGGGCTCTGTAACAGGTGAATTAGCCTTTAGGCTCGCCTGCCTGAGAGACAGAAATCTGCTATTCTTTCCGTCTTTTATGGAGTGACGGTGGCATGGTGTAGCCCAATCTCGTCAGATCTTGGAAGCTAAGCGGTGTCTGCACTTGGAAACCCCTTGCTGGGGTCACCATGTCAGATGTGACTCGACGGCGCTTTACACACGCATCCGTCTTTTACTACCGAACATGTCCAGCTTCCCTGCCTTTCATAGGTGTGTGTCGTTATTGCTTGTTATGTGGGTTTCCGTTAGGGCAGGGTCGTGGAACTGTGGGAAAGCAAGGCAGCTGCAGCTCCCTCTAACCTGTGGCCAGTGTTCCCTCTAAGCTGAGTTAGTGTGAGCCAGCTCATGGTTTTTTAGCCTCCAGCTCACACATTTTTGTCCTAGCTCAGGGAGGATGGCTCCAGAGCAAACTAATCTATGCAGCAGCCAAATCACTTGCTCACAACTTTAATGCCAGTAGCTCACAAAGTAGAATTTTTGCTCACAAGACTCCACAGTTTAAAGGGAACATTGCCTGTGGCCACCGGTTTTCCCTTCCCATAGAGTTTCTCGTTCTTCCACCTTGGGCCCCCCACTACAATCAGAAGAATGAAAAATCCTGGTGTCATTTCCCACTCACTTCAGTTTATACAATTAAGAGGTAAATTAGGGCAAAAGCTCCCGGATTTAAAGGGCTTCTTTCCTCACCAAGCTGCAGCAAAACCACAAGGGCTCGGAGGCTGTCCCACGCAATCAAAAATCCTCTGAAAGGTGACAGTGTGGTTGAAGCCTACATGTATAGGGCTCTGTTGAGACCTTCCACAAAATTTTGGGGGGTCGGGGTGGAGCCAGGTTGTATAATCCCACTCCCGTCTATGTAGGTTCAATGTAAGCCCGTAGTAACATACAGACTACACCACTGTTGCAGAAACATGATTGAAAGCTTAGATTCGGGTCCAGCAGCTCCTTAGAGCCCAACAAGAGTTTCAGAGTGTAAGCTTTGGAGAGTCAGAGCTCCCTTCATCAGACGCAGGGTAGAAATGCAGATCTGAGTCCAGTTTGGTGTAGTGGTGAAGTGCGCGGACTCTAATCTGGGAGAACCGGGTTTGATTCCCCACTCCTCCACTTCCAGCTGCTGGATGACCTTGGGCAAGCCACAGTTCTGTCAGAGCTG